TCCTGGTTAGCAGTCAAGTGCCTGAGGCACTATGCTACCAGAACTCCCTACCATGATCCTAAATAGGCTTAAATGTAAAATCTAAAGCTGTAAAATACTTAGAAGAAAATCTTTGTGACCTTGGGTCTGATTTTCTTTTTAATAACTTTTTTTTTTTAAATATAAAACCAATTACAAAACTATAAAACAAATTAAAATCATGCATAATTCTTCTATGAGAAACAGTTCCTACTTATATTTTACTATATGAGCTACTTATTTTATCTACATGTAGGCCTTTTGTTAAAAAATAAATGAGAACACTGTATAATATAGGCTATTAATTTGGGCTTTTTAAGGTATTTTATCACATTGTACAAACTTTTCCCATGCTTTTATATATTCTCCTAAATGATGATTTCACAGAGGTTGGTTGCACAGTGTTTTACTGAAGAAGTATATAAAAATTTGTTCAATCATTGGCCTCTTTTTAACATTTAGTTGGTGCTGGTTTTTCCTCTTCTTATAAAGAATTCTGTGATGAATGCAATTTTACCTAAATCTTAGTGCACAATTTTTTTTCCCCTTTGGAAAAATTCCTAGAAGTAGAATTGCTTGGTCAAAGGTGTGTTACACTTATAAACAGACTCTTTTTATTTTGATACTTTCAGGAAATTAATATGAATAATAATGGAAATGTATGTTATTTTGAGGGGGAAGAGAAAACTTCCTCTGTATTTGAATTTTTAGCATTTTTTTCCTTCCCCATGATGCATACCATTGTGAAGTAATTAAAACAGCATGTTCAAACACATTTTAAAGCATACCGATTTGGCTGATTCATTGAAATAAGTTTGTGTTGTCAAGAATACACTGTAGGTTCTTTGTCATTGGGTTTATAGATTCTGTTTTGATGGGTGTGTGCACTCTTCGTTCATGGTGAATGTTTTGGACGTTTGAGTTAAATCGGATTGACCCACTCTGTTCTGGTCTCAGGAGATAGCAATATGATTTTCTCTTGGTTCTAGCACCCATCTGTGAGTACATTTATATAACACTATATCAGATCCAGCCTTTCCTGAGACATGACAATGAATGATGTATTTAACCATTACAGCCAAGGTCAGTGCTGTGGACTCATCGACTTAATGAGAGAATATCAGAACTTGAAGTCAGCTGTATCTAAAGTTCTAGAAAATGCCAGCAGTGTGATTGGAACAAGAACTACTATAAAAGATCAAGAAGACCTAAAGTGGGCTTTATCCAAGGTAATAATTTAACATTTATTTATTTTGGTAGACTCTGGTGGTGCTGTGGTTAAAGCATTGGACTGCTAACCTAAAGAACTCACCAGCTGCTCCATAGGAGAAAGATGAAACAATCTACTTCCATAAACGTTTAAACCAAAAAAAAAAAAACCTCACTGCCGTTGAGTTGACCCCTCCTTGGGTTTCCAAGGAGTGGCTGGTGAGTTTGAATCACCAGCCTTCTGGTTAGCAGTCAGATGCCTTAGGCACTACATTTACAGCCTTGGAATCTTGAAACTCTACAAAGCTCTTCTGCTCTATACTATAACACTGTTATGAGTCAGAATTGACTCAGTGGCAGTAAGTGGGTTTTACTTTAGCACATCTGTTTTTCACTCAAAGTGAAATTCTCTCTATAACTTTTCTTGTCTGTACAGTTAATGTGGGTAATTAATGCTGATGAGGCGTTTCTTTTTTAAATACTGCTATCCTATGATTCTAGCTAATTAAAGAAAATTCTGTTTTATACATGGATATTTACATATAGTTTATATGTTAATGTTTATCTGTGTTACATATATATATATATATATAGTAGATATATTTGCATTGTTTATTAATATCACTACCTTCTACATGAGGTCCACCATGAATCAAATTTCTTAGCAGCAGATAGTTTTAAGCTCTTCACTTATCATTGACTAATTAAGGAAACATTTATGTCTACAGCATGAAGCTGCCAAGAATGAAATGAATAAGAAGCAAAAGGAGTTGGATAACTTCACCAGTAAAGGAAAACAGCTGTTGTCTGAGCTGAAAAAAATTCACAGCACTGATTTCACTTTGGTGAAAACAGACATGGAGGGCACCGTGGACCGATGGCTGGATGTGAGGATGGTTGCCAGGGACCCCACAACAGCTTCATATTCCCATTTCTCAGTCTCAAGTTTGGATTCCATCTTTAACTTTTCATGCTACGTACAAAATGATATTCTGAAGAAAAATAGTATCCACATCAAGTTTAGAAATAATGAAAAAAAGCATTTTCATGATTTTCTTAAAACTTACCAGCAGATTTTCTAGAGTTTAACATGTTAGGTCCAATCCTAATTATAAATCTGAAGTTTTTATTCTGATAGCTTGTGAAATATGAACAAAACAGGAAACTAATTTATAAATATCTTACAGAATGTTAAACAATAATATATCATAATTTAAAGTAATGTGGCTTTAATTTTTATTGGAGAACATTGGACCTGGAGCTTACAGTCTTGAGTTTTAGTTCTTGTTCTGTCACTTAACTAGCTATGTGACCATAGAACAAATTATTTGATCTGTTCAGAACTTAACATCTCTATTTATAAATTTTTACATTATATTCTAGCTGAAAAGTCCAGTGATTCTGTTACTCGCCAATTCCACCCCTCCATTAGTATTTAGGTTCAGAAGTTTAACCTACACTGGATTCTCTTATTGAAATTAAAATTAGATAGTAATCTTTGTGTACTATAATCAAAGATTTTTTATTGTGATTTGGGTGAAAATTTACAGGGCAAATTCTGTTTCCATTCAGTAGTTCACATGCATTTTTTTCATGACATTGTTTGCAGTCACCACAGTGTAACAGCTGTCTTCGCACTTCCTCCCTGAGGTTACCATTTCCCTGTGTCCTTCTTCGCTATGCATTCCTGCCCACTGAACAATCTCCTTGTGCAAATTCTGCCTTTCTGATCTCCTGTGGTTGATTGTTCTTAAGAGTGTACCTTCCTGGTAATTGTTCACCTCATAGGCCTATTGTTTGACTGGAAGCCACAGGAGTGAGTTCACTTCCAGGCTCGAAGGTGACAAGGGGCCATGATCTCAGGGGTCTCACCAGTCTCTGTCAGACCAGTAAGCCTGGCCTTTTTATTATAATCAAATATTTTTTGAGCTACAGAACACTTTCTATGCCTCCATTTTTAAGAGGGTATTTGTATTATAAAAATTGTAAGCAGTAATACTGTACTTTAAGCATGCAACGTTACTCACTCTCCTATGTATTTACTTATTTTTTGAAGATACTCTTTGAATATCTTCAAATCTAATTATGGTCCATTCCTGTGTCTCAGTTTTATAAGTAAAAGTGCTTCCTATGACACTTCACAAAATAAATACAATAGTATTTATTTCTGTTGCATAATATTCAACCTCATATTGAATTTTATCGTAGAAGATTCTAATAGACCTGTCAACACTGGCATCCCTGTTTACAAATGCAAACCCGGTGTCTCAGAAACAGTCCCAGTGACAGAAACTGTTCTAGAATGGCTAATATTTACTTGACTTGGTTGACTAATTAGCTTACAACATTTTTTATAAGAATCTGTTTGCAGTTAGAGTATGACTTATGATTAGGAAGTACTGAGTTCTTAGTACTTTGGTGAGCTAATGAACTTTTTCAAGGCTCAGATTATTAATGGCCTGGCTTCTTTCTATCCTAGATATCGGAGAGAATTGAGGAAAACATGGAGAGGCTGAGGATAAGCCTGTCCATTTGGGAGGATGTCCTTTCAGGTAAAGATGAAATCGAAGGATGGTCAAACAGCTCTGTCCCACAACTGGCTGAAAGCATCAGCAACCTGAATAACAGCCTTAAAACGGAAGAGTTCCTTAAAGAATTTGAGGTAAACTGACAAAGTCTGTGTAAGTGAACTTGTGATGTATTGTTAATAAGAAAAGAAAAGAAAAAGGCTCTTTTTTTTAAGCTGTTATTCCTTTCAGACATAAATGAGTGTAACAAAACTCATGACTATATTTTGTTATTGACTTAACCTTTAAATAGGCTATGGCTAAGAGTTTTCTGCATTTTTTAAATTGTGATTTGAGTAAAAGTGTACAGAGCAAATTCATTTTCCATACAGCACATCTTACACATTTGTTTCCTAACACTGATTACAATCCCCATAATGTAACAGCTCTCTTCCCGCTTCTTCCCTGTGGTTACCTTTTCCCTGTGTCCTTCTTTCCTATGCATTCCTGCCCTCTGAGCTGTCTCCCTGTGCAAATGCTGCCCTTCTGGTCTCCCATGTTTGATTGTTCTAAGGAGTGTACCTACCTGGTGTAAATGCTCGCCTTACATACCAGTTTATTGTTTGGCTGGGAGCCACAGGAGTAAGTTCACTTCCAGGCCCAAAGGGTGACTGAGACCACAGTCTTGGGGGTTTCACCAGTCTCTATCAGACCAGTAAGTAAGCCTAGTCTTTTTTATGATTCTGAGTTTTGTTCCACAAGAGTTTTCTGCATTTTTATCACTTCTTAATTGGGGTTTCTTACTTAAATAAGTATTGTAGAAAAAGAAAAGTCCATGACATCTGTCATTTTTTCCCATTCTTTGAGAATATGACCCTTCTGACTTGAAAAGCAAACTGACAGGGTTTTGTAATTTCCCAGCATTTAGCGTCTCTTTTGACTCCATTCCCCAAAATATGTTTGCTGAACACGCTA